GAGTGTATGGCTGAGTCAGCTACTCGTGCGTAGTGTATGTCCACTAAACCGTCTCGTGGGCATAGTGTAACCTATATATACATCGTGTTTGACAACATACAGCACACACTCAGAGACAAACAGTACATGCGTACCAATGGTTAAAATTATTAGCTAACAACCACATTGGATTATTTTTTACCTTCAGTAAGCAAGTAATGTTCCCTGCAGAAAACTCTTGCAGCATTAATATCCCATCCATCGTCACAGACAAACCTCCACTGACCCATCCAACAAATCTGCACCAAACCCTCACCCTCTTTCCAAGATTGGGACACATTTCTGAGCACCCTTGTCTCCCGCTCTTCACAAGGTGGGTCTGGTGCTATTGAAAGGGAGCTGTCTTAATTTTCTTACTTTATGTGTGAGAAAACGATTCATACTCTCATAGTTCTGATACGGACATGGGTGGAGCAAAGTAGACATGTCAAAAAATGAAAGAGTGGGTATGGGATGAAGGGGGGACACTGGTGTAGCTGGTCACGTCTGTGCAATTATGGCTGTGTACATGCAAATGTGGAGTTATAATTAAAGGTGCCCTTGGTGCCACCACCAAATGTGCAATTAGCTACTGCAGAACCCAGCTATAGCTGTAGGTTTGGTTGGAAGGTTATGGGATAGTCTTCCCCTAACAATACGATATAATTATACCTTCTCTGGATTGGCGATCTTCAATATCTGAGGAGAACAGAGAAAGCGATAGTTGTGTTTATATGAAAAAAGCATGTGCAGATATCTTATTAGAGTGACAGTGTAGGGATGCTTGGAAGGTTATGGGATAGCCTTCCCCTAACAACACAATTATACTTGTACCTTCTCTGCGTTTGCGATCTTCAATATCTGAGGAGAACAGAGAAAGCGGTAGGTAAAAAACGTGTGCAGAAATCTTATTAGAGTGACAGTATATAAGAGAAAAGACCTGTAGGTCCAAAAATGTGTAAAGGATCCACGTGTTCTCTGCTCATTAGAGCGTCGGTAGATGCTCTATATAGGGATGGCACGAGTGAAATCTCACGTAATCCGTGTACAAAACGCCTAAAAACTCGGTAAGAATGACTCCATAGGCCTTCAAAACACACGGTACCGCGCATGCGCAGTTCGCCGAGGGTTTACACTTTAGTGGTTTTCATTGGTTATAAGCAAAGTTTAATATAAAACAAAGATATAGGGATGGTGTCATGTGGCTTTGTGCATATTTGGTGTGTAATGACCCCTTGTTTCTTCCTTTTTGGTGCTTCAAGCCATCCCTATATCCCCCTTCATTTTGAAGAAATGAATTTTCCACTTGTTAACCCTCGGCGCGCATGCGCTAGAGGGTTATTGGCGAGCGGGAGCGAGCCAACCTAGTCGTTCGTTCGAGCAGAATTTTCTATTAGAGCGTCGGTAGACGCTCTATATAGGGTCTGGGACGAGTGAAATCTCACGTAATCCGTGTACAAAACGCCTAAAAAGTCGGTAAGAATGACTCCATAGGCCTTCAAAACACACTAGCAATAGTCTACGGGTCCATATCTAGCTATACATGTACCCAAAGACCTCATACGCACCTTCAGTTCTTCACGCGAGACTTCGCTCATACGCGATTTCACGATTTTCGTGTCATCATATTCTTTGTCTTCTTCTTCTTCTTTAGACCCTTACTGGAACAAGTTCAAGCGCTGTTTTTATTCACTGAACGTCTCCAAATTCGTCGGAGGTGTGCACGGACATCAAGCGATCGTCTCTTTCTTGTCACAAGTCACTACGGTAGATCGTGGAGCTCTTTCATGGGAGACACTGAACGACGCCATTTGCTGCTAACTCAGCAAGCAGCATGTGCCAAGCAAGGGGCGTTGTCCTGATGCGCCCAGTGTCGCGCGTGCATTCACCTGGCGGTTGCCGTTGTCAAGGCGGTTGTTGACAGACGTGCGGAACTCTCAGTGTCCAATGCCTTCTGTAAGTAAAATCGGTCTACACATTTCCAACAAGCTACCTGTTGGTTTGTACGGGAGCGACTTCTCGAGCAGTCTGTGTGCAGAGCGCTGCGTGCGCATAGGGTTAAGCTTCAACGCCTCGTTAGTGTCCCAGCTTGAAGCTATTACATTGTAGTCTGATTACTAGAGCCTGCCAATGAAACCACCATCCTGTGCACAACATAATTACGTTCTTGGAGACAATAGACAGTCTATGTCTGCTGCCCCCTTATTGTTCATAAGCAAAGTTTAATATGAGACAAAGATATAGGGATGGTGTCATGTGGCTTTGTGCATATTTGCTGTGTAATGACCCCTTGTCTCTTCCTTTTTGGTGCTTCGAGCCATCCCTATATCCCCTTCATTTTGAAGAAATGATTTTCCACTTGTACAGGGCCAGTACGGCGATAGCCATACCACTTTTGCCTGGACTCGCCACCAACTTACTTCTTTGCTTACTGTAGGAACCCAGCTAGGTCTTTATGGAGCTAGCTAGGGCCGCGTAAAGGTGGCGCGCACGGCACAGTCGCGTCGCGCAGCTTTCACCCCACCCCTTTGTACGAGTGCATGCATTGTAGCCATAGTTGAGCGGATGCTAGAGCGGACGACAAAACTGAAGGATCTGCCGCGGCTAAATAGCATACAAACGCAATCATCATCTTCTTGTCAAGATTTAGAGCAGCAGAGACTAGGTCGCAGAGAGCCGTACCACTTGCCTGAACCTTCCGACGCCCCTGTTGTATATATTACAATTGTGTCCTCACATTCTACAGTTAACTCGGAACAATGTGAACGCTGTATTTTAAAGTCGACAGAGTTGTGCATGGTCATAAAGTATTCAGATTGTGTAGTTTTTCTATGGTGGACACTGCCATTTTTACTGCAAGCTCATGATCATCAGGCATGTACTGGCTGCACGACTTGCAGGCTTGGGACTTTTCATTGACAGTGTTCCACCAGTGAGATTTGTTGCAAGTTGGGCTGTGACTTGTGAGTCCAAAAACTGTACTGTATATACACTAAAAATACTATGCACACAAACCTAAAGGGTGATTGTCTACCTAAAATGTGCCTGACAGGCGATTTCCACATGCATAATAATATCCTTACCTTTGCAAATAACTTTAGCTCTCTCGTCTTTACCACAGTTATGGTTTCCTATTCCACTATGTAGGCAGGCAAGCAAGGACTCTTCGTTACCCTGACAATTCACCTTCGATATCCAGTATTTAACTTCTTCACCTGGCTCAAACTTTCCATCTGATTTCTTTTTTAGCACCTGCAAAAAATTAGAATGCACTGGGGCTGAATGTAGTAGCCCTCTCTCATTGCCATAAATGCGTAGTTGCCATGTAAATATAAAACAAAATGTGCAGAGATTGTATGCATTTGTTGCAGCTGTTGTTCGAGTAAAATAATTATCACTTGCTAAAAAGGTTGTTGAGCATGTGACCAGTTGGCATGAGTTTTACTTAAATTTAAACTCTTCTCTCAATACTAAAACTCTAGATCATAATTGTATAATTATTATAATGCTCGTGCATGAACTCCAGATTTATAGACACATGTGCATGCAAAAGAGACCGTACACCTAATTACACTTGACTTCTGAATCACACGGTCTCTACTAAAAGTTGGGCTACTCGCTCCCTTGCAAAAATTCAAGACAAAATTGCAGAGCTTACCACTAGACGGAAGTTCCAATGATCTACATGCCACTTGAGCGTCTTCGTCAGTCCATTTATCATGACATACTGATCTCCATTCATCTCTTATTCTTAGTTCAATAATTCCAGAATAAAGAGTTGTGTTTTCAACCAGCCGTATCTCAACATCATCCGTATCTGTAATGGTTTGCAAGTACAATTGTCATATAAATCACACAATCACCATAACCATTGATACTGTGAGGCGAAAACTGTGCCTTCATTGTTTGGCATGCATTAGCTATAGATGCGGACGTGTTATTAGACGCCGGTCTTGTGTAAGTGCAGAGTTGGTGCAGAAACACCAAATATTTTCAGTTTAGTGTGCAATTAGGACACCAAGAGAATAAAACAGCTGCTTTATTCAACATACCCAGACAGTGGACTCCAGCCCTTTCTCTCCTACCACAGTTATAGGTGTCTTTATGTGGACAATCAAACAACGACGACTCCTTACCCGTACACTGTACATCATCTAGCCAGTATTGCACTTCTTCACCATTTTCGAATCTTCCCCTACGATATGATCCAGCACCTGAATAAAGTAGAAATCAAAAATAATATCCATTTAACTTTCCCTTTTAACCCTCACACTTATGTGCAGTAATAGTAATACCAAAGTCATTCTGTCAAAATGTCTGTTGCCCCGTTTTCTGCCACCACACACAACTGCCTATCACTTGAAAATTACGTCGTGAATCGTGTTTACATAATGTTGACTTTACTCAGCGTTTACTATAATTATACAGACAGTAGGACTCTATTACACTGTTCAAGTGCTACGAGCAAAAATATAAGTGAAGCCAGCTACCAAGGAGCCTCAAGATTCCATTTCCTTATATTACCATTCCTTATAAACAGGTTACATCTTACTTGTACTCTGCCAGACTGCTGCACACGGCTAAATATACAAGCTTTCTAGCTCTCAAAGATAATTAAGACTGGCGCTATTCACAAAAAAACTAAAGGAGAAACGGGTTAAGATCACGCTGCCACAAAGCTTGTGTGCACGCTGGACGACAATCATACGTCATACAATATTGTCAAGAATGGCTTTGATGGGCTCAATTTGCAGACATGCATACTGTCTGACAAAGCAAGCAAATTTCAGTGGAAAATACATTCATATTACATGTTCAATCTGAGAGCAAGTGATATTATACATGTGCAATAATATGCATACCATAAGGCAAGAATCCCAGTTGTCCACAGGCTACCTTTGCATCATGATCGGTCCAAAAATCATCACATACTGATCTCCATTCACAATTATTGCGATGTACTTCAACCAGGCCAGACGTTTCATTACCATGAACAAGACGAATTCCCATACTTGCGTTACAAGCTAAGAAATGTAAATGAATTGGGATGGCTGAAGCACCAAAAAATAAAGGAAATGCCCAAAAATTACATAACACAATAGTTAGACAATGAGGCACTGAAGTCGATATGTGTTAGAGCCCGAGGGCCTTGCGTTATGGCATTGCTTCGATTTAGAATTTACACACACTTGTTTTTGCGTGCACGGGTTGTGCGGGGAAATGGCGCCGCGGTCACTTAACCTCGATGTGAGTAATTTAGTAAACATGTTTTCATGTGTGAGTGTGTACTAAGATAATAATAGCAAACCGAGCCTACGTGATTGTTCCTTCAGGTCATATGTATAATGATTATGATGCACTTAAGTGTGCATGCACTGAGATAAAGGTTTTGCGGATTATTATATTGATGTTGTTCTTTCAACACTTGAAAGCACATAATCTCATGAGAATTTGAGTAATTCACAACAAAGCTCACCAATGCAAGTTCTTCCATCGCCGATGTAGCCTTCTCTGCATGTGCAATCGTAACTGCCTATTGTATTAGTACAGATAGCATTTTCGTCACAGTCGTGCGTACCACATTCACACTCATCTATGTCTGCACAGGGGAAAAAAGCATATAGCTACCAACGAACGGCCATAAGACTTTGTTACCTGTACAATTTCCATCTTCCCCGCAGGAGTATCCAGGGTTGCACATGCAGTAGTAACTTCCTTTTGTATTTTTACACATGGAATTTTCCATACAGTTGGATATATTCATAGCGCATTCATCAATATCTGTGTATTGAAACTAGGAACATCATTAAACAATCCATCATTAAACCCCTGATACCTTTGCAAGTTTCGTCTTTTTCAGGAGTAGAATTACAGACCTTAGCTGTGGTACAAAACGAAATGTACATCCTTTTAATGCAGATTATTACCCGTTGCTAGGTCATTGCTATGTTTATTTCACAATAAATCAGCTACCCACCCAAGAGGGTGAGAAGGTGAGAATATCCACTGTGGTTAGGGTAAATAACTAATGAATGGTGTTAATATCCACTGTGGTTAGGGTTGGTTATCGATGTTTTTATGTACATACAAAATGATGCAGGAATACTGGTGGTACAACATCAGCAAAGTATAATGTTTGTGGCATCATTCAAAGGCTTTGGTTGAGATTGCACAGATGGAGCATTGTAAATAGTCACATTCAGCTGGTCTCGTGGTCTGTCTGTCTGTCTGTCTGTCTGTTTGTCCTTCTGTCAGTCTGTTCTCGTGTTTTCTGCCACCGCAGCAACAAGGCAGAAAAAACAAGAGGTACATACACTTTGGGTGTGATATGAACATGGGGAAGAATAATACCCAATTAGGAGGTGTACACACACAGTAGTAATTTTCCTTGTTGTTTAACACAACCTTGTGACAGCTGTGAGTAAAATTTTCATCCATAGCTTGCTTATTCAGTATCCCTACATACAAATAGTGGAAAAGGCTTACTTGAACAGACAACTGTAACAGCCTCAGCAAGGGTGCAGTCATGTTCTCCAATGTTATTATGTGTACAGTTATCCAAACGCCCTTCGTCTCCCGTACAATTCACTTCATCCAACCAGAATATCCCATCGTTCAGATTTGGACACATTTTACCTTTCTCTAAGGAGGTTAAGAGGACATGTAACTATAAGGTTGCTAATTATACTCTGACTCACCTCCACTCTCGAAACAATATTGCTTACAGACAACTTGGGCATTAGTGTCATTTGCTCCCCACTGGTCATCACAGACCAATCCCCAGGTGGAGTTATAGCATATTTCAACTAGCCTTTCATTCACACCGACCATTTTTATTAAACGGACTTCTCCATCCTCACATACTGTAGAAAAATACAATTATTGCTAGGGTGAAGGAGTTAGCCAATGCACACATAATGCCACACAATTTCATGTGGCAATAACGAGTGCAAAACACATTCCAAATGGGATACTGGAATGGCTCAAAGCGCAACCAAAAAGAGGTGCATTAATGTCTGCAGAATGCCATTCATAACCACTTTCCTACATCTTGCAAGAAAGTATATGCCATGTTATAACCTTAAACCTTCAAGTTGTAGACATCAACCTGTAGACTTCATGCGTTCATGGCCACAAAAGAATTCTTTAAAAAAACAAAGGTGTAGGGATGGAGTAATGACCTTTCTTGCAATTTGCCATCTTATTGTTCCCCCCCCCCCCTACGCAGTTTACTAATATAGTTGTTCAGAAGAAGCTTGAGGTTTGGAACGAGGTAGTGGAAAGAGCAAATTTAGATTTTGAAGGTAATAGGAAAGAATTTTGGGCATTTGTTGGTAGAAGGACAAAGGGTAAGAGGAGGGGGATTACAGCTTTGAGGAATAGTGCTGGGGTGTCAGTGACCAGTACAAAGGGCAAGTTGGAGGTGTTAAAGAAGCATTATCAGCAGTTGGGCACTTGTAGTGTTGATACAGCCTTTGATGATAGTTGGAAAGAGGAAGTGGATAAGAAAGTGTGTGAGTTTCCAACAGATTGTACGGAAAATGTATTGGATAGGGAAATAGATTTGGAGGAGATTGCAGTGTGTGTTAGAAAGTTGAAGAATAATAAGACTGGTGGTAGTGATGGGCTTGTGGGGGAGCTTCTAAAGCATGGTGGGTCAGGGATGGTAGAGTTACTTAAACAGTTGTTTACAGTAATTTGGCGTGAGGAGTTTGTGCCACCACAGTGGAGGGAGGGCCTCATAGTTAACCTGTTTAAGAAGGGAAATAAGGAGGATCCTGGGAATTATAGGGGGCATCACTCTGCTGAGTGTGGTTGGGAAGGTCTTTTGTAAGGTATTGAACAATAGGTTGGTGAAGCATCTGGACGAGGGCAAAGCATTGCATGAGGGCCAGGCTGGTTTTAGGGTTGGAAGGGGTTGTGTTGATAATATTTATACGCTGAATGAACTCGTGCAGGGTAGACTAAAGGAGGGGAAGGAGACATATGCATTCTTTCTAGATGTGCGGGCCTGTGGTTTAAGTTGTGGAATTTGGGGTAAGAGGGAAGATGTGGAGGGTCATAAAGAAGATGTACGAGTATTCAAAGAGTGCTGTATTGTTGGATGGGGAACGGTCAGAGGCATTTGAGTGGAACAGGGGGTAGCTCAGGGATGTAGCTTATCTCCAATTTTGTTTCCGTATTTATCAATGGGTTGTTGAGGGAGGTGGAGGAAGCTGAGATTGGAATCGATTTAAGTAGTGGTGGGAGACTTGGAGGACTTTTGTTTGCAGATGACTTCGTTGGTGTTAGTGAGTCTAAGGATCAGTTACAGACGCTTATAGATGTGGTGCAAGCCTACTGTCGAAAATGGAGGCTAAAGGCTAATGTGAGTAAGAGTGCAGTGATGGTGTTCGCTAGGGAGTTAGGGGATGGTGCTGGAAATGGGGGGAGTATGTTTGCCTAGAGTATCTAAATACACATTCTTGGGTGTTGATTTACTAGTACTGGTGCATGGGATGTGCATATCAAGAATGTGTTAGACAATGGTAGAAGGAAGGTTAATCAGTTGCATAGTGTAATTAGTAATAGGGATATTAATTTGAGTGCTCGCAGGTTGTTGTGCTGGCGGTTGGTTAGGCCAACTTTAGAGTATGGGGGTGAGGTGTGGGAAGCCAATAAGACTCAGGCAGCTGCATTAGAGTCCGTTATGCTGGGAGGAGCTAAGCGCATTCTTGGGTGTTCGTCTAAGACATGTCAATGAAGCGTTAGGGGGGATATGGGGCTTGATACGTTACAAGGGCGCTTAGGGATAAGAATAAGTTGAAGTGGTGGTATAAGTTAGCGGCATTGCCAGGCAATAGGAAGCTTTTTAATCAGGAATGGAATTTTAAGCCACGGAGAGGCAGGCAGAGGAAGGGTTGGAGTAAGGTCATTGATGATCTCTTTTTGTCATTAGGTCTTGACAAGGCAGAGTGGTTGCATGATATTCAAAATGGGGATTGCTCCTTGAAGGGCTTTTGTCTATAATAGGGGACAGTATTAATGAGAGGGAGATTAGAAAGTTTGAAGAGGGGCTAAATAGCAAAGTAAAGCTGTTATTGTATAAGACATTTACAAGGTGTAGAGTCAAAAAGTACTTGCATGGGAAAAGTGATGCTGGGTCTAGATTAATGTTTAAGTTCAGGTCAGGCACGCATGGGCTAACATGAGGAACTGGGCAGGCATAGGGGGAGGGAGGGGTGAAAGAGTGCCTGTTGTGTGATGATGAGTGTGAAAGTGTGAGTCATGTGTTGTGGGAGTGTCCAGCATATAGTAGTCTTAGGAGCAATTTCTTAGTTGCCCTGCAGGGGAAGCTTGGGGATGATGGGTTTGAGCATTTCCAGTCGCTTGATAGTTTCAGGAAAGCATCCTTTATATTGGGTAGTGAACTGTGGGAGGATAATTTTGGTTCTTTGCTTGGCCTTGTTAAAGATGTTATTTTGGATGTTTGGGAGCTAAGAAAGGTTAGGTTATATGGCGATAGTCAAACCCAGTCTCAGATTGCGTCTGGGGAGCTGCAGGGTGTCGCTGGTGGAAGGGGTGAGTTGAGGTGTCTGGGAGGTGAGACAGACACCTCATGTTCATATGGTGTATGTTCGTGTGTTAACGGTTCCGCCCATTGCCCTGGGTGCGTGGTTTATGGCCCTAGTGCTATGGCAGCCACCTGAGTATTATTATTATTGTCCCCCCCCCCTTTTTTTCTCTGCTTGCTTGTATTAAAACTGACCTTGGCATTGGTCAGTGACATCTTCACCATCAATAAACCATGTCGCACTGCAGTTACCCTTATCAACCACACATATAGCTTCCACCAGTCCAGGGCAAGTAGCATTACAACAAGGGTTTTCTGGGCAATCTGGCTTGCATCCTGCAGGACAAACGATGAATGCACAATACATTTCTTGTGTGTTAGAACTCGTGCTATTGAAATTCTGATTACCACGACTAGTTTCGTGAACCATTGCTGTGTACTATCACCTCTTGTTTCTTGGTGTTTTTCCACTATCATGTATAATCAGAGTGTCGGTAGGGATGACATGGGCAGAATAATGTCAACACGTGCGCGGGTCTGTACACCACTACAAGATGGGCTAGGCCACACTATCGAGTTTCTTGCTATATATATAGCTCGTTGAAGAGTCTGACAAGGCTATATATGTAGGTAGACAGATAGTAATTGCTGGACTCGATACTTGCCCTCCGTGCACAACACGGCCAGAATCCTAGTCAAGGTAGGCAATGCACACATGCTTACTGGCTTGTTTCTTGGTTTTCATGCCATAACCTTTGAATGCAGTTTTAATTTTTAAAATCAAGCCAATGTAGCGCCGAACCATTGGCGTGTGGTCTTTTAGCGCCTAGTGGCAGAAAACAGACCAAATACTGTACCCCTGGCGGCACATGCGCGCCAAGGGGTAATAACTAGTTGCTGTGATGACCGCACACATCATTTTGTCAAGCCTGTATGTATATATATAATTATATACCTTCAATCAGGCATAGAAACGAATGATGCTATATATGGAACAGACAGACAGACACACAGACCTATAGAATAACAGACAGATGCCCACAGTAACCCTCTCTGTGCAGGTACACCAAGTGTAAATAACCATTGCTTTTAGTAGTTAATAAACTTTACTCTCTGTGGTATGTAGCAGACAAAAAAGGTATATAGATGCATGTTTAGTGTTGTGTAGCCCCATAAATAGAAACTTTTGCAACAAAAACCGGACACAGTTGGGAACTGAAAAGGAAAACATAAAGCTGCAAGTCTTCACAAAATATTATTTTTTTATTGCCTGCAAAATTTGTTACTAGATATTAATACAGAGGTATTTACCCCGACTACACTCGCAAATCCCGTCGCCAATGTATCCTGTTTTGCATGTACATGAGTAACTGCCAGGGGTGTTAGTGCAAATAGCATCTGCTAAGCAGTTGTCGATCATCAATTCACATTCATCCATATCTGCATTGAAAATGAAAGTAAGTATGTAGCACCACATAAACCAAAGAATATCTCTTACCGTAACAATAGGTACCATTTCCAACATAGCCATCCATACATGTGCAAGTATAACTGCCATCAGATCCCATACACACGGCATTATCACCACACAAACGCATGTCCGTGTCACATGGATTATAATTCCTGCATGGAAGGAACACATGATTGATTACTGTGCAAGACTAGGAGGTGCAATTTGGTCTGTGTAAATTTAGCTTCTAGGATACTGGGAGTTGAAACAGATCAGCAGCATTTGGGCACAGTCCTGAGACCAAACTGGGAGGGCACCAGACCTGACAATGGACACAGATGGCTGGTGCTGCAATATCTCTCCAGACAAAAGCTGTATCTAAACCATAGCTGGATTCAAAATATCCTGGAAAACACTGCTAAGTAAACAGTGGGAGGCAGCACAGGCTGGGAGGAGAGGCTAACCAGTGGCGCACAATAATGGTTCATGGTCAACTGCTTCCATGGCTAGATAACCATTATAGCAGACATTTAATCATTCCTTGTCTAGCCTTGGGTTGGTCAAGGTTCAAAGAACTCAAAATAACCACTTGGTATTCAGATACATTAGCTACCATCTCCCTATATCCACCAACGAAGCTACTAACCTATTAACACTTTCTTTCACTCAGAAAATCAAGGGTATGGCATGCCATTGTAAAAAGTGTAGATTGGCTTACTAGCAGACAAGTTACCCACAAAATATTATGAGCTATAGATCAAGCCAATCATAACCTATGCACAGTCACTATCTTTTGGAAGAGTTTCCTCCGACGCACGCACTGTGGCTGGGAAACGCTTCTAGCCGAGTGCGCATGCGTGGCAGTAGCCCATATTCACATCCCTGGTCAAAAGCCCGTCTGGCCTACGCTATTTCTGCAAAATCGCTCTCTTATAAAACACTATATTGTCAAATCAAACAACACAACCATTATTACCTATTTGGCAGTGTGCAATCCACAAGAGAAGGCAAATAGTTACAAACGGAGCAGCTCTAGAAACCATCCCTTGATCCTCAAGTTGCCTGTGAGTGATAACAATGCAGTTACAGAGAAAACGAATCCAAAGCGATGACTTGAAGCACAGGTCGTCAAACTCGCGCGGCGGGCGCTCTGACTGCACGCGCGCCAAGGCCCGTCTTATATGCCCGACGCGCGCATTATAGGCTATGCGGAATTTTAAGGTGACGAGTTCCGGTTAGCATACGTAAATTTTCTGCCCTTATATTATCAAACTCAAGTAGACCTGCATGACCATGGCTTCCACGGCAAAACACCACTAAAAAGTTTATGATTAGCTATAATACCAAACACAATGCTTTCACTGAATTTGGGCGCAATGAGCCAGATGGTGTAGCTGTCCTTGTCACTGTAGGTAGCTACAACTTGAGCAACTAACCTCTTATGTAGTTATAGTAGCCTGTCTAGACATGTGCTGTCAAAGCAACGCCACTGCATTTAGGCAGAAACAAGCTGCAGGCAAACAATATTATTATAGGCTCTGCTTGCCTTCTCTCACCAACTTTGTTCCATAGTGGAACTTCGGTAATCACAAGTCTCTCCCACTTCACTAAGGCTTTGGCACAGATATCTTTAAGTTACCTGAAATGCACCGACCTACTATAATCCAGCCACCTTTTTGCAAGTCCCACGGTAGTAGCCATGTCCACATGTATAACACAATCTATGTAGCTATGCAGCATAGTCCATGCATGACAACTACCTGCTATACTTGGTGTGGATAATGGGTAAAGATAAAGCACATTCCTGTGGTGCCTCATAAGTCATAAGAATGCATATGATTTTTGCTTCTCCACATAACGGATGGGGAAATATTTGTTTTTCCTGCATTCACAGACAATTTTTTACAGTATCATTATTAGAATACGAGTAGAGCTTACGAAGTGCAAACCGCCGGCCGGTGCATGTTTGTATGGAATGCGCGGGTCGTACAGCGATAGATGCGCTACGTTTGTTGAGTATATACAAACAGAAATGTAGCTAGAGACAGAAATGTAGCAGCATACAAATAGAGTAGCTAGCTAGCGACGCGCCGAAAAAAGCAAAAGATCTCGCGCGAGCATTTGCGCATGCGCCCGCCGTATTGCTGCGAGCCCAACAGAAGCGTGAGGCTGAAAAAGCTTGCAGCTGCCAGATGTGCACAACTAATGTTTGCTAACAGATCACAAGGGAACACCCGGTCATCAGTAATCAAGACACAAGCAACAGCAATGTGTCTCAATGCAAAAGTCTCTGCCATGCAGCCTCTGTTGATCACTGTACAGTTCAATCCTTTGCTTCTGAGCCATAAGCTTGCATGACAAACTTGCAGTAGCGTATCCAGGGGGGTGATATGGGTGTTCGAACACCCCCCTTTAGCCTTACGACCGCGAAGGACCGGTCTTTATACTGCGCAGCTTAGGGTCTGGGTTTCCGCGTGTTGCGGTCAGCTGCGTAATCTAACGCTCCAAGGAAGATGTCGCTCCTGAATTGCAATTTCGGCCCTCTTGCGCATGCGCAATAATTATACTTCCGCCGCGCGCGGTCCCCTATTCGCAAATGCCACTGACTTGCACTAATTAAAGCACATCGTTATAATGTTATTCGTTTCAGATGAGCACTTAATAGCTTTCCATTAAAGACACGGAAAGATACGGAATACAACCTAATATACAGCAGAGCTACAGTCATGTCAGTGTTCTCTATAGGAGTTAGTAAATTTGATGACCCTATCATCGAACTTCGAAACGGAAGGTCACACCATGGTTGACACTGCATCCTACTGGGACAATCCCCAGCCGGTGCTGTCCTGGGCTAAGACCAGTCAGGGTACCAGAACCTGGCATGACAGACAATGTATATAATATTCAACAAGGCTTGGAAAACATGTGTGTGTGGGGACATACAGTCTGGCAAGGTTACTCCGTCCAGTTTGCAGACATAGCCAGTAATGTCAGAGCCAACACCACTGAATGAATAGGTAGCAGAATTTCTCTCCACTTCTATCTCACCAACGAGTTCCACAGTACACACCACCACTGCAAACATGGAGGGTGCACTGTATCAAAATCTCCCACAGCAAGCAGTTTCCTATTTACCGCTCAGGCTACAGAGAGGCGACTCTCCACTCCATGTCCCGTCACTCTCACAGGTTCTGGTACTGCCACCAACCAGTCTATATCCGTCATTGCAAGAGTATGTCGCTTGTGAGCCAACAACTAGGCCGTCATACACCACAGAGCCGTCGGCTGGGTTTTCCAAGTCTGGACATCTCAACTCTAAACGGAAGTTTGTATGCATGCATAGCAGAGCAATGAAAACACCAGAGCTAACATACCGTCATCATCTTCAATCACAATTTCGGTCACAGTATTGGCCAAAACAATAGACAAATCGTAGCTCTTTAGTTGCACTGTAAATTGTTCCTCTCCTTCTCTCAAGCTGTCGTCAGTGATACTGACTCGTATTACAGCCGATGGAGTGTGATCGGGAAGGAAGTAAACTGTTGCAAGAACATCTTGGTAGTCTTCACCAGCTGGGGAGGAAATGCGGTAGCCGTTTCCCGTCTGAATCAGATACTTACCAACAGATTCTTACCAACAGCTGTTCCGTCTCCACTTGTAATCCTCAGACCAAACGGTATTCCAATGCTGGGAACGTTTCCACTACTATCTGGGAATGCCGTCACTGCTATCTCCACCACACCTGACGACTCAGACACAGAGTATGATGCCTCCACAAATCCAACCACAAGCATCACTGCATGTTTCATTTGTTACTGAGTAACTTACAGTCGTAATCAATGACGAAGATAGATACTGGGTTAACCAACTGTCCTACACTAACAGAGATCATTTCAATTCCCTCCACTATACCATCAGTATGAGCAACGACAGTCACCACAATACACTCTGAGTCTCCCTCAGAGTAGCTCCCGTTGAAGACGATCGTTTCGTTGTAGAAAGTATAATCTGCTTTGATCTACAGGAGAAGTATGGGAGACACCAACTAGCTTGCTAGGTATATATGAGCTAACAAAACTCATGTCATAAGACTCTATTAGACTGATACTGCGCAGCTATCCGTGCCAGCACTTAATGCACAACGCTCCGTGCCAGCACTTACACGCTTACATTACTCACGTCATAAGACTCTAAGATACTGCATAGCTCACTTTTTGCTGATCCAAATGGAGTGACCTCAATAGGAAATACGCTGTGTATCAAGCTCCGCACGACTTTGGTGACAGTCAGACATACTTTTATGCTCCCTGTCTCTCCCTCTTTCACAGAGTATTCACATGGACTTGTGAGTTCAACTGCAAAAAAAGTTGTTCTGTTGGTTGCCGTTGCTTTGCTTGACCTCACGCACACACTCATAACACATGGATTTCCATACTTGTGTTGCAGTTTTGTTCATCAAATCCATCGACACAGTCTTCAATTGAATCACACAAGTACATGAATGGTAGACATCTAGGAAAGCCGAAATCATCACCCGGACACTGGAATTCATCCTCTCCACAAAACATGGGCCGTTCTGTTAGGGTAAGATAGTGAAAAATCAGTGCACTGCAGCATTATAACAGAGAAGGCAGCATACCAGTGGAACAACTAACGCCAGCATCTTCCAAATGGCCACAGTTATTGTTCCCCACTCCATTATGCTGACACAGCTGTAACGATGGTTCGAATCCAAAGCATTCCACGTCATCCAGTAGTATTGGCCCTTCTCCCTCCCCATATCTTGCATTTGAATATGCCACTGCATCTGTTCATGGCAGACCAAAAGTACAATCACCCATCTACTCTGACTACTCTGCAACCTCTTTCCTTAGCTGCTAGCTAGCTGCTTACATTCAGTTGGGAGTCCAAGCTGTCTGCAGACAACTCTAGCATCATCACTGTCCAATTGTCACCACAGAACTGTCCCCACGTGTGTGAAGCAAACTTCCACCCGTCCCTCAGTGTCAAACCCATCAACCAGACGAACTTTCCAATTCTCACACGCACTTGGCACCACTGCATTACAGCAGTTATGAAATTGACAGCAATGGAGTAAGTTTGTCAATGAAGGTATATAACAGGGGAAACCTTATATTTCTGCACCGTACTTGGCATGCAATTGAGCATCACTTACCATCAGAACACACAACACCAGCATCCTCGATATGACTGCAGTTATGATCTCCCACTCCGTTATGACGACACTCCCTCCCTCTCACTCCCAGCTCTTTGACCAATTTCTTGCGCGTGGTAGCATACGCCGCCATTTATCGGACGATACCTATTATCGGCACCGAATGTACCAATTATCGGCACCCGAAAAATCCAACAGTATACGGAAGTTTTACGGCGCACCGACCACGCTGCTCCTTCTTCGGCTCTTTTTGTCTCGCCAGTACCGTTTTACTGCGTAAAACCACCAGGAAACCTCAGTCTTCAGCGTCATCTCTAAGTTAGGACAACATGCCGCGGAGAAAGAAGTCATTTTCGGTGCATAAAAGGTCAGTGCCGTCCAGGCTCAAGGTCTGGCAAACGTAAACAGTGGAGTGAGGAGAACATGGCTGCAGCACTCCAGAGTGTGGAACAAGGAAGCTCAGTGACCCCAGAGCATCGATAAACTTCGGGGTTCCTAGAAGTACTCTCTACGATCGAGTCAGTGGACGTGTCGTTCATGGTGTAAAGCCTGGCCCCAAGCCTTACCTTGATGATACAGAGGAACAGGAACTGAGCAGCTATTTGAAGCACTGTGCCAATGTGGGGTACGGCAAGACACGAAAGGATGTGCTCTGTATAGTGGAGTCTGCAACGGGAGAGAGGGGACGCCTTCGTGCTCACCATGGGTCCGATGGATGATGGCGCAGGTTCAAAGAACGCCAAGGAGATCTGTCACTGAGACAAGGAGACAGCACAGCTCATGTGCGTATGGACGCAATGAACCAAGAGACGATGGATCACTACTTCAGCCTGCTACACGACACACTGTCAACACATTTTCTGCTTGACAGGCCATCACAAATTTACAATGTTGACGAGACGGGTGTTCCTCTCAATCTACGTCCGCCAAAGGTCGTCACTACCAAAGGAAGGGAAACAAAGGTGTGTTATCGTACTTCAGGTCGCAAGGGACAGGTCACAGTTGTTGGCTGCACAAATGCAAGTGGGCAAGTGATTCCCCCATGGTCATCTACGATGCTGCATGGCTGAATCCAGCCTGGACAAAGGATGAGGTGCCTGGAACGAAGTACGGCCTCAGCCCTAATGGCTGGATAAACTCCGACCTCTTTGAAGCGTGGTTTGTAGAACATTTCCTCGAACATGCCGTTTCTGCACGTCCACTCTTCCTTCTACTTGATGGCCACAGCACGCACTATCAACCACAAGTCATCCGACTTGCTCGTGAGCACAATTGCATTGTGTTGTGTTTGCCACTACACACTACCCATGAAGTGCAACCCCTTGATGTCGGAGTCTTTGCGCCACTGAAAGTGCGGTGAACAAAAGTCTGTCACGAATTATACCAGAAGCACCTTGGCAGTGTTGTCACAAAGTTAAATTTTTCTCGTCTTTTTTCGCAAGCGTGGTGTAATGCTGTCACTCCTGCAAATGTAATGTCTGGGTTTCGGAGAGCAGGAGTTCATCCTTTTAACCCAAATGCCATCACTGTTTCTGAAAACACTAGCAAGGATAGCAGTAACACCCCTAGCAGAGACCACTCAGATGACATGCCGTCAACACCCACGTCCACAGATGCTACTACTCCCCCCATCAGCAATGCAGTCACTGCCAACAGTTCTACTCTGCTGACTCCTACTGACAGTACAACTGATGCTGGGACACTGGACCAGCTGTCAAGTGAAGTCGAGAGTGATTTGACTTTCTCAGCTGATCAGGAGGAACTCTACAAGCGCCGCTATCAAGAGGGGTACGATATTCCTGACACTATGTATGAGGAATGGCTAAAATTACGTCACCCACAATCATCTCGACCTACTTCATCTCCGATCCTCTCTCCACAGGCTATTTCACTCTCAGAACACTTCTCAGGAGTGACACCACTCACACCTGTTGCTGCAGACTCAAAAACCTGCAGTTTTTCATCCCTCAAACCTCCTGAAACTTCTCCAACATCTCTAAGCAATGGAGAGAGTAACGACACCCCTCTTAGGAAGCACTTGGTGGTTCCATCGGCTTCTACGCCTTCTGTACCTACAAAAGCAAAACCGTGTGCACGCTTGTTGACAAGTGCTGCAGCACTCGAACTGTTGGAAGAGAAAGAGCAGAAAAAGAAGAAAGAACTAGAGCTGAAGGAACAGAGGAATCAAGAGAGGGAAGAAAATAGACGGAAGAGAGAGGAGGATCAAAAGCGAAAACAGGAAGAACGGGTGAGGAAGGCAAAAGTGAAAGCCAAGCAGAAGGAACAGAAGACTGCAGAAAATGCACACAGAACACATCCAAGGACTCAAAAATCTTCCGATAAAATAGTAAGCACATGCTCAACAATATCAAGTGCACAGCCACCGCAGAAGAAGGCTCGCCTTCAAGATGAGACCATTGACGAGAACAAGTGCTGCGTGTGTTTCACATTGTATGACGAGGATGTCCAGAACAAGTCTGGGAAGGAGTGGGTGATGTGTGCATGCAGTCGATGGTTGTACGAGGAGTGTGCAGAGGACTGTGTACTAGACAGCACAGGAAAAGAAAGATTGTGTCCGCTTTGTTTAGACATTTCAGCTGTATGATCCACTTTTTTCCAACTTTTTTTCAAGAAGTATTGTTAGCCCTTTGTGCTGTAGTGCATTATATACGTGGTAACAGACAGATAGACCGACTGACAGACACAGACAGACGGACGGACAAACAGACAGACACACTCACGAACCAAGTACCGTAACCCTCGCTGCGCATGTGCGCCGAGGGTTAAATATACTAATAATGCTATGCATACAAGCCTAAAGGGTGATTGTCTACCTAAAATGTGCATTTCCACTTGCATAATGAAAGGCACAGAAGTGCAAACCCTCGGTGCAGAACAATGTTCCTGCAGCGTCTCAAGAAGCAAAAAATAATAGCTACTTCACCCACATTTGGGAATTTGCTAAAACGAGGATGGCTAGATGTAAAAACATATGCCGTCAAGAATCGAACTCACAGTATCCGATGGCAGTGTGCTTGTCGAAGAGCGTTTGTACTGCTAGACCAAGCTCTTTCATCTAATGCGCATAGTATCACAAAACGCATGTGTGTGTCAGTCGTGAAAAGAAACAAAATGGCGGATCTGACCGTGGTAAACAAAACACGCTCTAACTTTTTAGGTAAGCGGTTTTAGAAAAAACGGCTTTTTACTTTTGTTTTCCTCATCATACTCAATAAGCCAGTGTCCTTTGTTACTCGTGTCATAGCGCTAGATGCGACATTGAGCAGAACGGACAGACAGAGAGACAGACAGATGCATGTGCACCAAGGGTTAACTACAGTTGGAGTATGGAATGGTAACGTCTACTATCTTGCTGCACTTATCCCTATCTTGCCAAAATTACGCTATCCCTCAAATAAAGGTGTCAACGATTTTGGATTTTTTGTTGGCACAAGGGTGGAATAAGAGACAAACCAACTATTCTTACTACTTTAATGAAAAGCACTAAAGTGCAAACCCTCGGCGAACTGCGCATGCGCGGTACCACTAATTGATGGGCTGGGCTTTTCTTTTCTTTACTCGTTGTATCGCGCTAGTAGCTCGCGGAGAGTCTGGCACGGGCTAGCTACAGTAGTAGATTGCATGCGGGAGTCGATACATGCCCTTCGTTGTGACTTCTTGTGCCTTCAAGATACACAGAGCGCGCGGACACAGTCGAGGTAAGCCTGTGCTAATTACCATATTGGCTTGTTCACTTGGTTTTCACGCCATAACTTTAGAACGCAGTAGTTTTACGAAAATCGCCTTTTTTAAAATCAACCCAGTGTGGCACTGAACCCGATCATATCGCTATTTACCTGATTTCGTGCGCGCGGTGGCAGAAAACGTGGTAACAGACAGAATGAAAAGCACTAACGTGCAAACCCTCGGCGAACTGGGCTTGCGCGGTACCGCTAATTGATGGGCTGGGCTGTTATTAGTAGGCGTTTACTCGTGGTCTCCCGCTAGTAGCTCGCAGAGAGTTTGAAACGGGCTAGCTACAGTAGTAGATAGCATGCGGGAGTCGATACACGCCCTTCGTTGTGACTTCTCGTGCCTTCAAGATACGCAGAGCAAGCGGACCCGAGCCTGTTGAAAATCTAAACGCATGCGCATTTTCCGCAGCGATAAAAATGGCCGACTAGCATTAGCCGTACTATGGCGGAAGCACTCTAGCTTTGCAACGAAGCATTTTCAGAGAAAACCGTTCATTTCTGACCTTCATTGCCCGTTAAGTAGTCGTACGTATGGTCGTACCGTTTGTGAGACGAACAGACATTCGAGAAGTGAGATTAAGAGTAACAGACAGACAGACAGACCCAACTACTGTACCCTCGCTGCGCATGCGCGCCGAGGGTAATGACAGACTGGCAGCCTGACACACTTACGAAACAACTACCGTAACCCTCGCTGCGCATGCGCACCGAGGGTTAATGAAAAGCACTGAAGTGCAAACCCTCGGCGCTCACTGTGACGCGCCACGCGTAAGTAACGCATGCGCCGTACCACTAATTGATGGGTTGGGTTGGGTTTAGTTTTAGCCTGTTACCCCGCTGTCTCTTGCAGCTCGCGCAGAGTGCCTGACGCCGGCTAACTACACTACTAGATAGTCATGCGAGAGCGAGTCACGCCCTGCGTGTTGCATGCGTTCTGTAGCCTCTCCGTGGTACGCGAGCACAGTGGACTCTGATCGATGCCGACTGGTAAGCGCGTCCGTGTATATTAGCATATGTGGCTTTTCGCGCTCTAGCTTTGCAACGGAGCCAGTTTTCAGCGAAAACCGGCGCCTTTATATTTCTGACCCTTCATTGCCCGTTCAGTAGGTTGTATCGCTTTGTGAGACGCACGAACACTCGAGAGTGAGATGACCAGATAGCGAGACAGACACACACACAGACAGACAGACCCAATAGTACCCTCGCTGCGCATACGGCGCGCGAGGGTTAAACTAGTGCATAAACCCCTCGGGCGAAACTGCCTCATTTCGGCGGGTACGCACTTTGACTGGCCTGGGTGGCCTTTTAGTAATGCATTACTCTCGGTGGTCTCCT